CATATCAAATTTATCAACTATGACCCGATAAAAACTGTCTCTAGATCCGCCACTGCTCAATAGGTTGCGCATATTGTCTTATCTACTAGGTTGGTTGGGAGGACTCCACTTTGGTGACCTTGGGGATCAAGACATGATGGCGATGTTAGACTCCTTCCTGGGATCCTTTGGGTGCCTCGAGAGGGAGAAGAATTGTATATGTCGCCAAAACAAAGGAGGACACTACTTTTTAGGCAACATGTGCATACCAGCTTATGGCAAGAAAGATGTTTTCGAGGGTATTAACCCGACCCTCGAACTACCAGAATAATCTTCGTGGTGTGCTTACAGTGTGAAAGTTTGTTTTGTTAAAAACATGATAGGTATGTCCACGAGGAGAGTGTACGAGAGTTTTTACGCTTAATGTTCACGTGAAAAGGGACATCAAGGCGCATCAACTGGGCCCAAGTAAGGGTCCTCTAGTGAGTATGTCTCAAATCTCCAAAAATATAACCTTCTTTTTCCAGGCACGCATGTTCTTACGGAGCACACGAGATTGGGTATCCCATAGGGCGAGTCAGCAAAAGATTGTTGGTGCGGGATTCATGGGTGAAAAGTTTGAGTTAGTATTTAGACCAGTAACATGTGCATGAGGGAATCAAAAAGGGACAAATGAGGGTATTAGAAAGGTGAGAGCATCATCAGTATTTACTAGACGAAAATAACAAATCCCATTTTTTCAATTTCAATTTCTCTATCTCTTTTGAATTATTACTTCACTCTTCTCTCCGACAAGTATTTTTGGAGACATGGTTAGGGGGATTTTTTTAACTTCAGATCATTTTTTCCCTCTCTACCTCACTCGCTTTCTCGAGTCTTTAAAATTTGACATGTGTTGCTGCAGGTTGAAGAGGATCTTCAGAGACCGAGATGCATTCTTGTCAATGGAGACACTTCATATCCATTTCTCTGAACCCTAGCTTCATTTTTACCGTGTCTACCTCTTTGTCGATCCATTTCTCGCTTTCTCGATTCAAAAATATCGAATTAAACCTCATAGATTTTACACAGCCCGAGATGTAATAGCATCCAACCTGACAGACGAGTAATTTCTTTGCCTTCTTTTTTTTTTTTTGGTCACATAATTTCTTTGCCTTTTTAGTTGAGATTTCTTTGTGTGCATTGATGGATGTTGTTGTTAGTTTTGATTCAAATAACTTATGTTTTAATTGTTTTAAACATAGACTAGGAGTAATGGTAGAGTTTCAATAAAACGACCAAGCATTTAGAATGTTGTTCTTATTGCCTACTGCCTCTGGGGATAAGAGTATTATTGTAGGGGATCCTCCTAGTCTATGTTTTAATGGATTAGCTTTCTACACCAAAATTGTAACAATCTAGAGCTTGAGGTAACTTGTACATTTCATCTATAATGGATTAGCTTTGTGCTTTTAATTTTGAGTTTTTGAGGTATTTTGGTATTACTAATGAGAAC